TTTTATATATCAAAGTAAATTACCCGGTGCTAGTTTACATTTATCACTTGATGTTGCTGGAGTATCTTCGAGTGAAAAAATGATGACAACCCCCACTATGATGGCAGGAAAGTTATATAAATTTATTCCAGAAAATCAAAATGGACGTTTTTATCCTTTTATTATGTATGGTGCTAAAGCCACTCTTCCTACTGGTGAAGGTGATATTACTGATGCTCTTTCTTTTATTGATGATGGTGGTATTTCTTGGACTGGTAATGCGGGAATACCACAAGAAGAAGAAGAAATTATTTTGGATAATGCCAATGTTGATTTACAGGATGTTATTCGTGATAATGTGAAAATAAAAGTTCGTGTTGGTCGTGGTATTGTAGTTGGAGGATTTCAGGGGTCAGATGCTGCAGATGTTGAAGCTGCATATAAACAAGAACTTGCTAATCATACCAGTGTTGATAGTGATGGTTCGTACATTATGAAAATTATGGGTTATATTACTGTTAGATTTAAACAATTACGTTCATCTCCACTTGAAATTGTTGAAGCATATAATTTTGTTCGTTGCCAATCATCTTGGAAGGATACTCAGACAGGTCAAACTGTTTCTCATGATAGTGTAATTTCGTTAAATGGATTAGGTCAATTTGTTCAAGACGGTGTTAGTGGGTTTGTTATTGAACGTGGTGATGGAGAATCTTGGAGTGATGCTCTAAAACGTTATGGTTATGAAAATTTGCCTGTTGACACTTTCATGACTCTTGGTTCTCTTGCTGAAGGAACGGGTATTACTTCTTATGTGTGTAACTTAGCTAAAAGAGGAGTTAAAAGTGTAATTGGTCCTTTAGTTGAAAGTGCTCTTTCTGATGCTATACCTGGTTATAATACGGCTAAAGTGTTGGTAGGTTATGCTTATACTGGTATTTCTGAGGGTATGCAGTTTATTGATAATAATACATATTTGAGTGCTGGTCGAGATGCATTGGAATCTGTTTTAATTGGTGGTTTGAGGAAAGTTGCTGGTGATGAAGTTGTTGATTTTTTAGTATGCTACTTCGTTATATCTAGACTATATCAT